TTTAAAAACAACTATGAAAAAAAACAAACAAACAAACAAAAACTATGAACAAATTCCTATGCACTCTGCACATATCTTATTTTGAAGTAAAAAAAACAAAACGGGAACAAATACAATATTTGTATTTGCATGTGGCCCGTGGGCCATAGTTTGAGGACCCCTGACATAGAGACTTTAAAAAGCAATACAAAAAATCAGTGAAAGCAAGAACTAGTTCTTTGAAAAGATAAACAAGATTGATGAGTCACTAGCCAGACTCATCAAGAAACAGAGGACTCAAATAAATAAAATCAGAAATGAAAGCAGAGAAGTAACCACCGACACCACCAAAATATAAAGGATTATAAGAAAGTGCTATGAACAACTATATGCCAACAAGCTGGACAATGTGAATGAAATGGATAAATTCCCAGAAAAATATAATCTCCCAAAGCTAAATCAGGAGGAATAAGAAAACCTGAATAGGCCAATAACAACTGATGAAATAGAAGCAATAATAAAAAAAACTCCCAGCAAACAAAAGCCCGAGTCCGGATGGCTTCACAGGTGACTTTTACCAAACATTCAAAGAAGAACTAACACCTATACTCCCCAACTATTCCAAAAATCCAAGAGGAAGGAACATTTCCTAGCTCTTTTTATGAGTCCAGCGTTATCTTAATTCTAAAAGCAAATAAAGACACTACAAAGAAAGGGAATTACAGGCCAATATCCCTGATAAACTTAGATGCTAAAATATTCAACAAGATATTAGCAAATCAGATCTAGCAATATATTAGAAAGATCATTCTCCATGACCAAATGGGATTTATCCCAGGGATGCAAGGCTGGTACAATATTCGCAAATCAATAAATGTGATACATCACATAAACAAATTGAAAGACAAAAATCACATGATCTTATCAATAAATGCAGAAAAAGCATTCGACAAAATCCAACACCCATTTTTGATTAAAAAATAAACTCTCAGGGAATAGAAGGAGCACATCTCAACATGATAAAGGCCATATATGACAAACCTACAGCCAACATCATACTCAGTGGGCAACATCTAAAAGCATTTCCCCTAGGCCAGTGTTGTACATTCATCCCCAACAACACAGCTCCAGATGGAATCATCACTAAGGCCCTACAGGGACTAGCAGCTTTAGTTAATGAGTTAGCTGAGAATCCTGGAACTGAGGATCCTTTCTCCAATTTACTAGAGCAGTGGTTCAGAGAATGGAAGGTAATGATGGTATCCATATTCTCCTCTTTGATAATCAATCAGGTTAGGAGTTACAGTAATGGGATGTTGTATCACCTTATGTATGAGGGGTCTTATCGAAAGGGTAATCAAAACCCCATTGACCAAATCTATAATAATAGAAGCGTAATATGCTAATTAGACCAGACGTCCTTCCTTCCAGACAAATCCGCAGTGGGCGGGGGCCAAGACAGAGGCAGCAGAGGACCCTGGCCACAGCCACGGCATGTGGGGGCCACAGTGGTGGTGGTGGGTGGGGGCTGGGGCCAAGGCCCTTGCACAAATTTCATGCATCGGGCCTCTAGTAGCAAAATAATCTTCTCCTAGACACTGCAGAGCATGAAAGTCAACAAATGTTAACCGAGTTTGAAGAAAAGAGTTAAATGAGAAAAGGGGGGAATTGTGAGAATAAGCAAGTAATTTTTTCTGTCACAGAAGGGAGTTTAGGCAGCCACCATTTGGGTCATATGACTTGGCAGCCACCATTTTGGCTCCCGTGACTTGCAGCTTCCCTGGGGGGCTGCCATTTTGAAACAGCAAAGGTCAGCCCCTTCCTTTAAATTAGCCAATTGTGCAAGAGTGTGAGCCTAAGCTCTTCCAATCAAGAGTGAGAAACAGATGATGTTCATCAGGCATAAAAGCCCAAACAGACCACCCTCTCAGTGTGCATGTGCTCCCAGATCGTGTGTGTGTGCACCCTCCCAAAGGAGTAAAGATATTTGCCTTGCATAAAAAATAAAATAAAAGCATTTCCCCTAAGAACAGGAGCAAGACGGGCATTCCCACTTTCAGCTCTCCTGTTCAACATAGTACTGGAAGTGCTAGCCATCGCGATTAGACAGGAAGAAAAAATAAAAGGCATTCACATTGGAAAGGAGGAAATAAAACTCATTATTCGCAGATGACATGATATTGTATATAGAAAACCCTAAAGACTCCACCAAAAAACTACTAGATTTAATAAATGAATTTGGCAATGTAGCAGGATACAAAGTCAACACCCAAACATTGACAGCTTTCTTATACACCAATTAGAGACCTGGTGCATGGATTTGTGCACCGGTGGGGTCCCTCAACCTGGCTTGCACCCTCTTGCAATCTGGGACTTCTTGGGGGATGTTGGACTGCCGGTTTTGGCCTGATCCCTATAGGCCAGGCAGCAGGCAGCTGGGGAGGAGCCCGAGCCCTGGCCAGGCACCGTGCCACTCCCACTCATCCCGGCCCTGCTATGCCTACCGCTGCCACGGTAGTGCTGCCAAGGAGGTGGGAGAGCCTCGTGCCACCACAGCTACACTCACCAGCCATGAGCCCGGCATCTGGTGCCCATCTGTCAGCTGGAGCGGCGCTCCCACTGTGGGAGTGCAC